CCGCCGTATATGTATAAACGTACTGAATACGTATGGGAGATACCGAGCTATGTATATACCGAACCGTATCGGCCGCTCGGCTTGATATATTGTAGCCACATATTGCGCGCAGCAGCTTCTATTATAAATTATATTATAAATATATACTCGCTCGAGCGAGAACTTTTTGTCGGGGTCTTATGCGGCCATCCGCGAGAGGATGAATTGACTTTCGATATATAGCATAAATTTTGCATTTTTACGCGCCTCGCGATCGACACTTTTTCGTCATTTTGTAAGTTTGTATTATAATACCTAGAGCGAGCTCGCGCGGGCGATCGTTCCGCGGGATATTCGCTTTTTATTACACTCGCGGGCACTCGATGCTGCTGCAGGTATGTGTGCAGCTACACAGCATCATATAACGTTTTTCGTAGCTGTTGCTGATGCTGCTGCTGCCGTTGATGTTGTTGTTTGCCTTCTTTATGACGAAGCCGACGAGTCATGCGTTTCATTAAGTTTTTAATGAGCCCAAGAGTCTCGGGGCAAAAATTATTGTGAGATAAAAATGCGATGATTAGCGTAGAAATAAGACGTAACTGCATACACCGTAAGTAAGTACTACTATGCCAGCGAGCCAGCTTCCATCTCTCGCATAGGATAGTACACGCGACAAATGAACGAAATTCCGAATTACTCTCGCACATGTACGCGGACTGATGAATATTCAGCGGGACGAGAATTATACGCGCGACTGTCAAAAGACGCAGAAAATTCTGCTGCTCATTCTCATTTGCTAAAAATATGAGTGAGTTGCGAGCCTGTGGGAGGCCCGCGAGGAATCTGAATTATAGCTTCGCGTGAGAAAGCCTTGACTGGAAACTAGGCTGATTAATTTAATGCCATTAAGACGAGACTACTTCCTTGCGCGCGAGCGAGAGAGGCTCTATATATATTGTACCATAGCTCGCTAATTCGGACTCACTGGCATTAGAGCCTTCCGTACCGCAGACACCGCCGCACTTGCCAACTGCGAATTTTCAATGCAGCAGACAAAGTGCGCAGATGTATACGGTAGCTGCGAGCGATAGAGAGAAATAGAGAGAGAGAGAGAGAGAGAGAGTATATCGCACAGCATTCGCACCGAGGAATTTTGCGGGCGCGCGTGTACTTTTCTTTTTTACGTTTTTTTTTCCTATATGCAGCTGCGTCGATCTACGCGTCGAGCTTTAATACCGCAGAGCAAACAGCCGCAAAAAGGAAAATACTGGCCTGTGTGTATGTGCACGATATAATTCTTCGCGAGAGAGGAAACAAAAATGCCAGAGCAATGGCTTTTCATCTTTGGCGTGGCTCTCGTACATATAGCCCCGGCAGTTTATTGTGCGTATACACAGTACGCAACGCGCGTAGTTTTATTTGCACGCCAGTGAAAACAAAAAGAAATCGAAAGTATGCTCGGAGCCGAGAGAGATAGAGAGAGAGAGAGAAAAGGCAAAAAGAGAAAAGAAAACGAGCAAGATAAAAGTGATTCGCAATGACGTACAGGATACATGCACGCAAAAGAGAGAGAGATAGAGAGAAAGAGAGGCCAACTCCGTGACTTTTTAATTTAACGACAAATCGTGACCACTGGCTCGGCAGAAGAATCGACTTTAGCCCAAAGCGTGCAGATGACGCATCCTCGCCAAAAGGAATACCAAATTAACCTGCGAGCTTATATATTACACAAATGAATAGCGTATAGACTATGCGACAGCGCCTTTACAGGTATGAGCTATCACACAAATTATGCGACGCGCTCGCCCGTCTCTGCGTCTGTATGACTTATACAGCAATCGAATGTATATAAAGAGTCGCGCCGGTGAAACTACAAGACTCGATACTCCTACGTTTACTCTCCGCCCGTGTATATATATAGCCGCATGAAAAACTGCGCAGCTCCATTATATTTAATAGGCGACCTTTTATGTGCACATGTAACGAATAATATGTATAAATAACTCATAAAGCGAGCACGATTCCCTCCTACTATGTACATATTGCTTTTGTAATGCCCTGTTTAAATTCGATCGATTTTTCGAGTCGAGCCGATTTTGATTAACAATGATTAATAATGCATCAAGAGATCGGTATCGTTTTCCATACCCAGACGGAATCAAAAACTGTATAAACAACCAGATATTTGCCAATAATTGTGTTGTTTTTCAGATCGCCGATTCATCTGATTTCCGAGTCAATTTATTTTAACAGTAGAACTAAAAGTATGTTTTGTATGCTATAGTCTTGCGTTGAAATTGATTGGTGTGTCGAAGCGAAATTGTTTTTGACTAGCTTGACAATGTCATGATTAAAGTTTAAGTTCAAGTAAATTTTCCCGTAATCTTTTCTTTTAAATATCAATTGATAGTAATTAATTCATACTTAGAGAGGGGATATTACTTTTTTGTAGTAGATTTAGCTCTTTCAAAACTAAACGAACACATAATTAATAATAAAAGAATTACTAATATGGTATTATTATTATAATGAAATGAGATATTATACTTTTAACATTCTTACCACACAAATTGTTGAAGTAAACATTTTTTGTACGCGTTGAGTATCGAGGAGTTGTTGGTTCGTCAAAAACAAGCGAGCGAATAATAACCGTACAGGCCTTTTTAAAGCTAAGATGGTCTCTCATTTACTTAACCCGCAACATCTTCCTTATTTTCCCTCCAAGCAAATTAAAATGACCAATAGTGATGACTACGAAAAAGAAGCGTCCATGTTGATACGCGCGTTGTAATTTTCCAATGCACGACAGTAGACAATGCTGAGAATCCTCTCGCTCAATTCTGCTGTAGTGAGTGAGAAGAACGCGCGACTATTTTTCGTCGCTCATTTCTTTGTAACGTCCACTCGGTCTACTTTAGCGTTGCGCGTCTCTCCTCTTCGCGCTCGCTTGACTTGTTCTCGCCTAATGGCATTTGGCGCGTATTCGTGCGGGTTGCTCGGACAAACTACACACAGTGTACCTACGTAGCTCATATACTCGTGTCTACACTCCACCTATGAGGACACAGATCGCCGAGTCTGTACATTCGACGACGTCGCAGTGTGAAGTAAACAAAGAAACATTGCTATATAGCAAGTGATTATCGTGAAAAAGTGGAAAATATTTTATAAGCGACTGTGCGTTCAGTGTTGTGTGTGTTAGAGAGCAAAACTATGTCTTCGTTCGACGACGAATCTAGTAAAAGTTTCCACGACGCAGACCACCAAATAAACGACAATGATTCCAAACGTATTGCGGACCAACTTGGCCAATCCGACTCGGAAAAATTGAAGAGTTTGCGCGAAAATGTCAATTGGGAAAGGGAAAATGAGCGAAATGAATTTTTTCGTGAACTTTATCAATTAACCTTATCCAAATATCATAATTGGGAGGGCCAACTTCCAAATCTTCTAGATATTTTTCGAAAGCAAGAAATTGATTGGATTCTTACACAGGATTTGATAATGACGTATAACCCCAATTTTAACCCAGTTCCAATCATCGAATTCGTAATCAACACCGGCTATAAGGACGTGCCAGACCTGAACGAAGACGGCAAGCCATCGTCGCGTCGCACCACTGCAGTGCATCATGTTGATAGCTACAATTATTACTACTACAACATTGTCTCTGATCTTTTTCAAATATATGACAGGTTCGACGTAAATTACACCAATGAGCGCGGCCTCACACATTTCCATATAGCCTGTGAGTATGGCTTGGACGACGTCGTCAAGAAATTCCTCGAACTCGGCCAGGATCCCAATCTCATTGTGCGAAAAACAGGCGATACGCCGCTACACTTGGCTCTGTCCCAGGACGAAATTGAAGTGGCCAAATTGCTTTTGGAAAATGGCGCCAATCCAAATTTGGCTAACATCAATCTATTGACTCCTCTGCACGTTCTTTGTAAGGATTGCTACGACGACCATGAAATGGTGCAACTATTCTTTGAGATCAGCGACGAAGCAAATCAGCTGGTGCAGGTCGACGCCCGTGATACGTTCGGCCGGACACCGTTGCAATGGGCCGTGGCGAGAATTGCGCCAAATACGGTCAATGTACTTTTGGATCATGGTGCTGATCTGACAAGTTTCGTTTTTCCTACTCAGAGTTATTTTGGCGAAGAAATTGAACCCCATCTTGCTGAAGTTTTACTCAATTTTAAATTAAGATTGGCGTCTGGTGCTCTGGCCGTCGTCGAAATTCTCGAAAAAAGAGGATACGAACTGGTCCGAAGCGACGCCCTAAAGATCATGACATTATTCTCCAAGTACGGATGGTTCGAGGAGTCGGCGAACTATGACGAATATTGGTATGACGACGAGGATTTTGTGAGGGAAGCGAAAAAAATAATGATGAATCCGAACCTGTGTCTCTACGACTTGATCCGGTTACGACCCACAGAGGCGACGAAGCTACTCACATACAAGGACTGCTCAGGATTCAGGCATTCGGACAAATTGAGCAAACTACCTGAAAAGCACAAAGAGGCGTGCGCTACACATCTTCTCGAGAAGCTACCGAGGAGATTTTTTCAGCGGTGGGCACTGGATCCCGTCTTGGAGCTGACACGCTATGAGCTGCCGATTCTCTGCTGTGAAATAATCATCGAGCAGCTAAAGAACGAGGACTTGTGGAATATTTGCTTGACTACTGCAGGCAAAATCTTGTAATGGCGATCAATATTTTGCAGTATTTTTAAGTGTCTCGTGGTATTAAATATTACAAATTATTTGTATGATTCAAATAAATAAATTGAAAAAAATTAAATTCATAATTGATCTAGATTTTAATTGTTTCATTATTCAATTTTATTACAATTTTACTTACGAACAATCAGAAAGAATTTCGATAGCTTGCGTCTTTTCTAATATAGCAGCAAGTATTAACGATCATGTGCGAAGTACTATGCCATATTTTTATCATGTTGACATATCATCACTTTCACAATTTGATTCGATGTTATGTAAATATATAGTCAGTCGTCAACTTGATTGAAACTATGAACGTGAAATTTTAAAACTTTGAATCAATCGAAACCAGGAACATTGGGCATTTTGTTAGATCTTACATTCTATGAGAGAAGTTAAAAGATGGGCAATGCATTCGGCGTCATAAATTTAAGAAAGATGAAGATGAACGATTCAAGCAAACCTAGCACTCCGAAGGTACAGTTATATTCATTTTAGCAAAGTATTACAATAATAATTTAATCTAGGAAAAATACCTTTAATTAACCTGCTGTAACAATTTTAATAGTAATTAATTGAAATAAATTTTTTAAGCGAAAAATCAAGAAAGCTAAATACGGTCAAAAAATACCTTGGAGATTTCCTTCAGCTCTACCACCAAATTTACCTCCTATTTTACTTGAAAATATCCTTATGAAAGATACAGCTCCATCGGTACTATTTTATTTTGGAAATATTATTATCCGAGTAAACTATCCAATTTAATACAAAACTTATTTTACTCTCAGTGCGAACCAACTCTTTTACATGAACCAAATAACGGAATGATAAATCATCTTTATAAAACTGAAGAAATTGATGGAGTCATAATGATTGCTAAGACGCATCGTTTTCGTAAAAAATGTGTTACAACCATACTCTGCAAATCTGCTCCAAAGAAAACTACACGAAATCGTAACTACTTTTGACGAAAATTGTAAAATTATGACAATACAATGAAAAAATATTAATATATTGTAATAATAACAATAGACATTGTTATGTATCTTACGTACGTAACTTTATTAAAATATATTAATATGAAATCGTAACTTGGATCATGACCATCTTTTTCATCAATAACAGTTTAAAAAGACTGATAATAAAAAATAAGATACTTTTTCTGATTCATATACATGTTCTCTGAATAAAGTGGTTAATGAATTTTTAATGTCCCTGACGATATTTATCGCTATTTTGAATGTGTTAGTCCTCAAGCCGAATTTAGAGTTAAAAATTCCTGCAAAATATTATTGCGATCTTCCATGACTTCAAACTTATAAAATATCAATAATCATATCGTCACATAAAAAGCACGATAATTATCTTTTCGATTTTCCAACTTCTAAAAGAAGGATTATAGCCAAAAATGCAAAGATGAAAGAAAGAAGTTTTGAAAATTGACTTGAAAAAAAATATTATCCGATCCTTAAAATTTATACTGCAAAAATGTTTTCGCTTGTTGCCGACTAAAATGATTGCTGTCCGTAGAGGAACATTGAAAACTACCCTTTAGCTTTGCGAGTGAGGCTTCAATCTAGCAGACCGCTCTCTGATGCCGTATAAATACATAGCTATAGGCTATAGCAGCACTCCCCAGACCAGTTCCATGATTTACTAAGTCACGATTCAGCGCGTTCATCCACAACATAGTAGAAAAGATAAGATTATCTTTGCGAACAGACACACACATTATGCTACTAATTTGCATCTGCGTGAGCGCTTATCTTAGCTGGCATTGATAAGTCGTAATTTCTTAGATCACAATGACAAGACTGTACTCTAACTCTGATTCTCTCGGCAAAAGCATATTTTCACTCGTGCGTACGAGCAGAAGATATGTATCAGTTTTCATTCGGCAAGATATAGGTTAAGAAGTGTCGATAGTGCATTAAAATTCAAGTTTGCCGAAAATGGGTGCAGAACTGGCAATTTTTCTAGTTTTTGTGGGCTGTTGCTCCAACTTAGTGTTTCTCGAATTATTAATGAAGTGAGTATTGATTTCGGTTCAATTTTGCGCAGTAATAATACTTGCTTATTTAACAAATTAAACAAAACTCTGATTTATTTCTTTCTAAAGAGAGGACCCAGGAGGAGGGAATCTTGTGACATTTTTACAATTCGTATTCATAGCTTTAGATGGCTTTATCTTTACCTCCAAATTTGGAAAAGTATCCCCTAAAGCAGGGATAAAAAGTTATATGATACTGGTTTCTATGTTTTTTGTGTCAAGCGTTCTAAATAACTATGCATTTAATTTCAACATACCAATGCCTCTTCATATGATTTTCCGAGCTGTAAGTTTGAAAAAAATATTAAATTTTCAATCTTAAATTGTTTATTTTAATTCGTGCAATTTTCAGGGTTCTCTGATTGCAAATATGATTATGGGTATTATTATATTGAAAAAAGTCTACACTTTTGATAAATATGCATCTGTTTTTATGATTACAATGGGTATTATAATTTGCACTATAATGAGTAGTAAAGAGGTGAAATCTACTGTACCAGCAACTGCTCAGGTCGTTTCAACCTCAGCCTTGAGTGATTTTTTTTGGTGGACCATTGGTATAACTATTTTAACATTAGCATTGTTTATCTCAGCAAGAATGGGCATTTATCAAGAAAGCTTATTTTCTAAATTTGGAAAAAATTCCAGAGAGGCCTTGTACTATTCTGTAAGTAAATCAATAATAAATCATTTTTCCTTAAAATAAATTTATTTATCATTTCAGCACTTGCTACCACTACCATTTTTTGCATTTCTCATCCCAAATTTGTGGGAGCATGCAATTATAGCTTGGAACTCTCCAACAATATACATTCCAATAATTGATATTAATGTACCCAGAATGATAATTTATTTGCTGGGGAATATACTCACACAGTATCCTTTTTCAAATTTCAAATATTTCATGTATAATATGCTCAACCACAATTGAGTATTAAAATCGATAAAATTATCTCGTCATGGTACCTTAACCAATTTTTCTAGATATTTGTGTGTAAGTTCAGTATTCTACTTAACAACAGTATGTGCATCTCTCACTGTCACGCTAATTTTAACATTGAGAAAATTCCTCTCTTTGATATTTTCGATATTTTATTTTAAAAATCCATTCACTATATACCACTGGATTGGTACATTGTTAGTTTTTACTGGCACATTAATCTTTACCGAAATACCATCGAAAATTCAAAATGCTATCCAGTCGAAATCTGAGGGTAAAAAGAAGAAATTGTAAATAACAAAAGAAATTATGTATACTTCTACGATTAATAATTGAATCTATTTGAAGGCAGTAACGTGCGCGAATGATTTGAATCACCCGCAGTATTGATAATTTAACGGTGCTCGCCTTAGTCAAAAAATTTTTTCCGTTAACGCGCTGAACAACAAATAGATACTTTCAAAATAAATTTATAAAAATATGAAAATAGTAACTATAACAACTTTAAACAATATTGATGATTTAAATATTTCATTTTATTGATGGAAATCATTAATTATTCGAAAAGTTAAAAATTATATTCTCAAGATTTTTCATGAGATTTTCCATGTTTATAATTATTTTTATAATACATCGAAATCAATTTATTCATTGACATGAAATATTGATGAACTATAATTTTTGACTTGAACTTTAAACCATATTGTTCAATGTAAAATTCAAAGAAGCCTAAAAAGATTGAAACAAATAAATATTTAATTTCATAAGTTTCTGTCGTTCGTCATTAAATTTTCAGTGAAGATTACTTCACTGGGGTCCACAAGTGAACCTGTTGCAGCAACGATGAGCAGTTGACATATTTCGTTGGCCGATTTTATATTGCTGGTTAAAAAACTGGTTTCGTGCTTGATTGTCGCGTTCGGGTACTGTTAAATTTAAAGAGATCTTTTAATAGAAAGAAAACTAGAGAAAATGGAGTATTTTTCTGCAGCTTTATCAATTTTGTCAATTTTATATTCATTATGTAATTGTTCGAACACTGTTTGAAAAAATCACTTGAAAAATCAATGAATAAATTAAAATTGATTTATTAAGGAGACCATATTCAGATCCAGAACGCCGAATTCATTAAATGGTTTATTGAATATAAAAAACTGATTACACTTTCGCATGTAAAATTATTACAATTGTATAAATTCTTTTTGACAAATTAAAATCTTAGCCACATCTATTCACATAAGATGAGACAGCGAAATTAAATTTGAAAAGCTTCGTTTTTTTCCTTCAATTAGCAAACGGTACTAAAGCGGAAAGTACAAGGAGCTTCATTGATCCGTGTCGTTACATCAGAGTTGCGAAACACGCGAAGATGACCGAGACGATCCGTACATCGACTCGCGTGGACAAGATGATAAATCGTCGATTTTGATATTAATGAATGAACGAAATGTGTATTTTTTTTATCGAATAATGAGCGACCGCATGTATAAAGATTCTCGGCTCGCGAACCTTGATCGATCCCGTAGCGATCGTTGCAGCGACATACTATACTTATACGAGCAGCAATTCGACGAGGGGCATTTGATAAGAGCCATGCTTGAAATAGCTCGATCACTCCGAGGCAGCTGTTAAAATATCGGCAACTTGAGAATTGAAGATACGAGTGATTGTTTGTAAAGCTCACTTTGTTCGTCACGCATATGAGAGAACAATATCTTGCATCGTGCATACTCGGGTAGAAATGAAAAGAATAAATAGCTAAATCAAACTATGCAGAATAGACACCATTATTGTCGATTCACTGTAGAAAATGCCATCAATTTAAAGTATGTTTTTTTGGAGTCACTTGCAATACTCATTATAATATAAGCTGAAGCGCACGGACGCGTATCAGGTGCTTCGTGCGAAAACACGCATTTTTCCGTTTATAGTGGCGTATTTATTCGCCTGTAATGTAGTAAAATCAAGCTCGTGCGAGAGAGAGAGAGAGAATAAAGCGATAATAGCTGCATGTCACGCTTGCATTTATATATTATACACAAGTGGAGAGTCGCAGTTAGCGGACTACACACGCAACTTTATATAGGCATCGGTATATGGAAGTGCATAAATATAATAAATGCATGCGTGTTTGTGCGTACGCGAGTTAACGTCGAGCGAGAGAAGATCCGCGCTCCGGCAGATCGGCATGAAAAGTACTTGGATCGCGTAAGTAGCTATCGGACGCGCGAGCGACAAGGCACTATTGGATTGTGCTCGCCCGTCAAGGAGCTTCCTATTTAATGCACACGCGCATCTCTCCCTATGTATATTCAGCAAAAGTATCGCAGTTAAATGAGCTTCTAATGGCGCACAATCTCTTTTTTGTCCCCCTCTCCGAGGAACATCTCGGTATAGGTAAAAGAAAAGAAAATGTAAAAATTGACAGCGTGCGCGCACGAGTACATTTTATATATACTTTTGACTTTTGTATGTGTAGCGCGAGCTGTGTATAGTATGTAAGCAGCAATAGCGGCACGTATATAGCTACTTGTCAATGGGACGTACGCGCCACGGCAGTAGGCAGCTTACTCATCGCAGCAGCTCGCTCTCTGCGTACGACACGAGAAAGCGAGACAGAATCGGCTTCTGTGCATTAAGGGATGTTGGAGCTGCTGCGGACATTACCAGCGCGCGACACTAACAGCTTTTAACGTTTCAAGTCTTCTGCGAGAAGAAGAAAAACAACGCACAACTGCGTTCTTTGCTGCTGCTGCTGCACTCAAGTCTCGGAGCAGCGCTGGATTTATGCATCGCTAGATGAATTTATAGGCAGCACACGAGTTCGTATAAGTAGCCGTAGGACAGTGCACATAATAGATACTATATAATGCGTCGCAGTCGTCGCGCCCTGGCCTTTCAATGCCCCATTGAAATTACAAGCATTTATCGCGTGCGCACCGCAAAAACAAACTCGCCGCGAGCCAACGCGTGCACGGATTGAAACGATCTTTATCACCGCGAGCTTGTTTCCTTGCACGGAACGACAATCCCTTCGATCGGCTGCAGATTGCTCACTTTTCATTAAAAATGTAAATGCCTAATCGACCATCGTTTATTCGCACCCGCTGTCATTGCGAACAAAAAGTTTTTCGCGATTCCGACGTGGCATTACGATTGGGCTAGTTTGACCATTTTTTTATCACTATAAACATGCAAATTTTAGAAAATGTTGATTAAATATTTTCATTTTCAACGTGGCCTCGGTAAAGTTTAATAATACGATTTCTCAGCAATTTATATCCAATTCCGCGTTAACGCGATTGGTATAGAGGCTTGTGCGTACTTTAAGGTGCGCATAAAGACGGGCCTCAGATACAGCTTGTCGTTGTTGTTCTTGCTCGCGGGTAGTACCGCAGGCACTGAACTGCACAGAGCTTCGCGCAATATAAGAATTCGTGCTCGCTGGATACAGCGCGTGGGCGATAGGCTTCGTTGCGATCGGTAATGGCCCTCTGCGCAGCGCGTCGAGCATCCGCTCGCGAGCCCATATAACAGATAACTTCCTTGTGTGTTAGAAATCATTAGCATGTGTATGTTGTGTGCCTAAGAAGTACCTAGATATAATGTGGCCAACTCGCTCGCCACAGCTGTATTATTTACATTTTCGCGTAAAGCAGCTTCTCCGCGCGGAGAAAAATCGCTGCTGCAACCTCGCGAGCCATTACGCTGTATGCCAGTTGTTTATTGAAGATCGCGCGAGTTCGAGCACGTGTAATAGGAGCCCCGCGACGATCTGGCTATTATAACAACTCATTAGAGTGGATTTGCACCTTAGCATGCACGAGGATACACGTATAAATTCCCCAAACGGGCAAAACCAAGCGCGATTTTTCGTGGTGGCCTCGTCAAATTTATCTGCCCAGCGAGTACGAAACCGTACAATAAAGCTTACACACGAGCTTTATTACAGGCAAACAAACATTTTTTGCCCCCCGCTCGCAAGCGTATAAAGGAACAACGGCACCGTTCGTAAACCGCGACCAAAAATTCCATCGAAAATCGTAATATTTTATTATACTTGCGGGTATATAATTGCAAAAAGTCACATAGGTGCAAAAAAGTGGGCGATCGAGCGGAGGCGGTGAATTCGAGCGCGTGAATCAGCCGAGCGGATCGAGCCCCATTAACATTTTATATATAGCTATAAACGATCGAATCCGCACGCAGCTTCTTCTTGGCGCTGATATAATTATTACGCGTCCTGTGCGCGCGATCCCGTAATGGCGAATCAATTTTGTGTCATTGCCAGAGATCACGCAACTCTCTCGCTCTCGCGGGAGTGCAGAATTACAAGCGCACGCGCGCAGTCGTAAAGCCGCGCCGGTATATTAATTTGAGAAAATATACTTGAAAGTCGCGCTCATTATTGAGTGAATAAAGTTTTAGTCACGTCCGAATGCAGCGAATGCGCACAATAATGTCGTATCTTTGAATGCCTGCACAAGTTTCGTAACGCGCTCGCGAGCGCGCATATTTATATGTAAATCATCGCGCGGGATAAATGCATATATTAAATGTGTACGTGTGTGTGTGTGTGTGTGTGTATCGCAGCAGGCGTGCAATATAGCAAGCGAACTGTATCGCTCGCGCGAGAGCTGTATACGATTATTCACTGCATCTGCATTCGTATGTACGTGTACTTGGACTCAGCGCGAGCTTGTATGGGACTTAATTTTCAAATAAAAAAGATATGCCTCGCGAAATAAGTGATGCTCGAGCCGATCGAAACGAGTCTTCAACTTTACGACCTATTATCACCAACAACTGAAGTAACTGGTGCTTTATTTATACGCTACTGATAAACTTTATTTGCGTTGCTCAATTCAATTTCACCTGATTGAAGCGAGAAACTGCAAAAGCAAAAGTGATTGTGTAAAGGGGTCGATTATTCAGTAGAATCCATAAAAATTGAATTCTCCGTGACCTTACTTTTTTAGTATAACGAGAAAAATAATTAAAAACTGTGTTGTATACTGAGATCTGTTGAAGAACAACACTGATGCTTAGGCTTTTTTTGTAAACTCTATTAGATTAAAGCAATTACAAATTTCGATTGATTAACAGTCATTAACCGATTTACAGTGAGGAATTCAACGAACGCGTATCAATTAATTGAGAGACTGTTCTGTGTGTCACGCACACACAGACTTTTTTTTAAAGAAGAGAGGATGTTAAATTATTTTTAGACACATATTTAGGGGCGCACGACGATCGTAAAGCTTGCAACAACCGCGTAGTCGACCGCCCCAAAGCCTCTGCACAGATCAGTACTCGCGAATACATCTTACAAAGTAGGTAAATAATTTGAATGGGACCTATAACGCGTCAAAATGTAACAAACGAGACTTGCAATTTGCTGTTTACTGAATTCTTAATTGTCCAAACAAAGATGCGAGACAAAAAAGCATGCTTCAGATTCGGTTGCTACTTATATGGCTGTGGGTCACGTAAATCTCATTCACGGGGGGTTTTGCATATTTTACGCTATTATTCGCCGTGAATGAAGATGCGATTTGAGAATTTATCCCGTCCTTTTTCACGTACGTCAACTCTGAAATGCTGAAAATTCGTGATTGTTTATTTAGGCACTAAACTGTCGTTTTATCATGAAAAAGGCGTTCTTCCTCGCAAACTGACGTTTTCAGGATACAATCGATTTATGGCAATTCTTTCTCTTTCAGTTCTGTTGCTGCTGCTGCTGCTGCTGCTACATTGCTATTCCGCA